ATTTGTCGTAAAATACCTTGTCCGCGCGTCAGCGCACGCTGGCCTGCCCAATTACGTATTTTGAATTTCATTGTTGCCGTCCGTGTCCGAAGGCTTAAACGAAGCTGCTCCAGTGCTTCATCCGCCTCGCCCTCCCGCAAGTGACTTTCCATGCTGTCGAGGCCACGCGCACACGCCTTCTCCCGAGCACTGCGGCTGCTCAAGTCACACAGCAAGAACAGCCTCGTGGCCTCAGGCTCCTTGTCCTCAGCATCCCAGACTGCACGCTGAGACGCTGTGAGATATTGATGCAGCCTGGGCATGTAAGTCGCCTGTAATTTCCGGAATGCATTCAGCCGGATACGCAGCGCCGTCCTGCACTTGAGCACGTCTAGCTGCTGGCTTGTCGTAGGATTTGGCCCCAGTACTTCTAGAATAGTCTTGTTGTCAGCCCGAAAGAATGCAGATGTGAAAATCCTATAAGAAAACGCACTGTGCTTCTTCAATCTCCATTCCCATCGTTATAAACGTGCTCGGTGTGTCCTCACACTCTACCTCCGTTCCATCCCCAGTCCTAGCATACTCCTCCCGAGCAATACGTAGACGAATGTCCTTCAGTGTTGTCACTGTCTCTTTTTCAGACGTACTCAAAGAACGGTATAATTTGTTCACGCACCTTCCTCCTCATACTCGTATGGGGAATTCTTCTCGGTCTCGACGTGCTGTTTTTTCTCCCACTCCTCCACCCATACCCTCCACGACTCCACCAACTCTGGCGCATGGCTCGAGAGACCCCGGTGAAAGGCATCAAATGAAGCTTTATGCGCCTTTCCCTCCTTGATCGCCTCGGCCATACACCGCTTCAGGATCAAGCCTGATCACTTATCAGCAAAAATGATCGTAAAAGCAAATCCCACGTACGATGAGCCACAAGACGCCTCCAGTTGTGAAATGCAAACAGCCCTTCCAACGAGTTGATAGTGCTAAAGATATAGCAGCTTGACAGAAATTTGTAGCAGAGGACATATCACCCTTTATCTGATAATAATTTGCCAAGGCATTAAAGAGTTTGCCTATATGAAATCACATGAGTCTCAACAAACCAGTACTAATCAGAGAGCATACATTTAAGATCTGGGTCATCAAACTCCTTGAAGTGTCCCAGTGTATCAGTTAGTGTCTCCAGATTGGAAATTGAACACATCAATGAGTTGAAGCACTCGTTAACAAAGTATGTCTCAAGGCGATGGTTACGTGGGTGTGGGAGGACATTTTGAATCTCTTGAATCAAAGAAATAGCTCCTTGCCCAATGTGTATACTGAAACTATTCAGATAGCATATGCAATAAATGCTGTTCACCAGGTCTGGATGACCTTGTTGCAACCCATTCTGAAGGATGTTCTGTATATTTGAGTAGTTTGATGATACTCGAACAACTGTGCTAGAATTTGATTGATTTCCTTGGTATTCCATGAAAAACTCAAGTAATTCCTGGAAATGTGTGAGAAGAGGGTGAACGAGGTGATCTCCAGGTGGCTGGATCTTCTGCATATACTCTCTGATAGGGACCAATGCTTTTAGCCGATTGTGTTCATCACTGTAGGCCAAGCTGGTACGAATCAATGCTGCTTTGCAGCCCAGGATATTATCAAGTGGAAGCTTGCTCTGCACCAGCTCGATATCTGAAAGACCATCAGGGAGCATTGACAGGAGGCTCAGGAGATCTTTTGAATGTGGGAAGGCATTGAGTCTAGGACTTGCCAAGGACAGTGAAATTGACAAGTCCAAGTTGGATGTTCTGTCATATCCATCTGAGATCAAGGATGTTTTCTCCTCCTCCCAGTTGGATAATACATGAGAGCAGCCCTCAGAGTCCACTAAATGAGCTATGAGACTGATTGCAAGGGGCATATTGTCTGTCAGAGAGAGGACCTTGTCAACCTCTTTTGGATCATGGGTGTTGTCTGCAATATCTATAAATGTTTGTTGTGCTGCAGCTTGTTCCAACGGCTTCAGAGCCAGCAAAAATGGATGAGTCCATGCCACTTTAGCAGGTCTTTCTGCTCCTCACATTGTGATCTAATTGGTATAAGTTGAGCACATGGATGAAAAATTCTTGGGGACCTACCACCAATGCAAGATGATCCACACCTGTGAGGAGTGACAAAAATTCCTCTATTTTTCCTCGGGACTCAACTGGCTCCCACAATGTCTCAAGATTATCCAGAATTAGGAGACTGCTTGAGCCGCTGGAGAAGTATTGAATGACTGGGCGAGTAAGGTCTTTTCCTGGCTTCAGCCCAACATGGGCTCCTATGAGAGCAGCAAGTTCTACTTGGGTCGCTGCAGACTCACAAGCAATGAAGAACCGCTGCTGATTATATCTCCGAGTAATTTCTGTATGACAGATGACAACTCTTGCAAGGCTGGTCTTTCCCATTCCACCTGCACCCAAAATTGCGATCCTGGGTGTTTCCTGACTGAAAAGTTGAAGAATATTCAAAAGCTCTAAGTCCCGTCCATGGAATATCTTGGGTTTGGGTGGTAGCATGGAGATTGAGTTGGAGCTTTAATACATGTCAGATAAAATAGATGTCATGGAGAGACAGGCAGAAACTGACCTATACAGCCCACTGATCTGTGCAACATTTATTGGTTGTTTTTCTCAGAGGACTGGAATTCCCATACAGAGGATGCTCTATCTGAACTGGTCGTGTCTGACAGAGCTTCAATCATGTCAAGCACTTCTTTGTGTCGTTTTTCTGCATCTTCTTGCATCTGTGCAATGTCCTTTATGTGATTGATCTACATATCAAATCCTTCAACGAGTGGTTGAAATACCAAACAGATATCATACCTTGAAAATCTCAAGTCCTTGTTGCAATCCTGTCCTGCAATCCTTGAGCAGTTTGCTCATCTCACCTTGATGGAAGAAATTCTTGAGTGTACTGCCATTCTGTTGAGCTTCAACAAATGTGTGGATTTTCTGGAGGGTCCTGACAATAGTCATCAATATGAAAGGATTTTTTTTCCTCTTCCAAGTCGAGCAACATACTCTGTGAACTTTCCAATGTGAGTCAACACACTTGGTGGCAATTCCGCTCCAGTCTCGGAATTGATGTGAACCATCAGAATTGCATTCAGCAACTCGTAAGTTTGCTCCAATAATTGGGTACAGTCATTCTTATTTTGTCTAACAGTCTGTCATGTTGATTGAGATTCATGGGTGTGGCAGATTCAGCAGTAATGTACCTGCACTTTTTTCAATAGAGACTGAGTTGTATTAGAGATGGCTGCCAAGAAGGGGCTCTTCAGGCTGCTGGCAAGGATCTCCAGAGTATTTGCAGAGCTAGTCAAACACGTTGTAATGTTGTTGAGTCGAATTTGAGTGACAGTGGGCTGGGGAGGCATCTTGGTGGTGGATCATGAGTGTGCGAGACATATAGATATTTATCCTGTGTGCACATGGGTTTCATTGGTTGCTGTTCATCTCCCGCATAGAAGATGTGATCCTCATATCTGGAACCACATCAAATGATACTATTGAATGAGCAGTTATATTGACAGATCTGGGGAAAATGTTCTGGGCTCCAACTGAGTGTTCGGTAGAGGGCTCAGCTATAATGCCACGATGCTGTGATATCTTCCCATGCACTGCCACTGCACACGATGGTCTAAAGATTGGTGTAAATAGACAGCATTTAAATGATAGCAAAATTCGAATCAACTTTGGCCTCACCTCAGCTGCTTGATTTGAGCCTTCCAGAGAAAGGGGCAGCCTGTTGGGATCCTTTCCGTTGCCGCTAAATCACCGATTTAAATGTGAATTATCTGTTTGCTAAGAACTGTTCCAGAACCTCATGAAAAGACGGACCAACAGTGATCAAGACATATGATATTTGTCATGACTGGAAGTGATCCTGAGGAAGCTAAAAATGTAATCCAAGAGAAAAATAAGAAGTCTGTGGATTGGAAGGAGGTGAAGTATCAGACTGTGAGAGATATTGCCAGAATCGTAGGCGAGGAATCAGCCATCCTCCACTAATTTCTGGGGGGGGGGGGGAATGGAGAGGGGGGCAGTGGCCAGATGGATGAGATATGGATTTTGGGTCTAGACAATGTAAAGTATATGTACATTGAGAGAGACGGGGAGAGAAATAAAACGTGAAGGATGCCTGGCACGAGTCACAGTGCGAAGACGATAAGTGTTCAAAGCCACACAGGCATTAACCATAGTTCTCCAGCATCATTTGGTATGGACAATCCATACTTGCATACTCTGTGGCCTGCATACTCAACCTTGACCGCACGAGAAACGTGAAAAGACAACACACCTCTGCTCGTCCACAGTGGGGAAAAAAAGTGAAAACCCCATCTAGCTTCCTCATGCGTGACCCCACAACCTCGTACCCCTTCAACACCTTCCTTCCTATGCCGAGGCTATTTGCTGCTCCAGCTTGTTGTGCACTTCTGTAGGGACGTTCCAGACTCGAACAGCTCCTTTTCCCTGCAATGTCCAGCTTGTACGGATGGAAGTCAGTCCGGTTTCTCCGATGGAGAGCATTGACTGAGTTCTTGAGGGTAATTTTGAAATATACATTTTTTTTGTGGTCTCTGACTTGGGGGATGGTAATGGGATGCCCTTGGTGTCCACGGGCGTAGCAGGGGTGCTTATGAGACACAGATTGGAAGATTAACTTGCTTGTACGTCCTGAAATCTGACAGAAATGTATAGTGTTCATTCGACCTGAATTGAAGCCAAGGGAAACCCTCGTCGATCGTGGTGATCACCCATAACTTGAAATCCAGCTTTCAAATGGGTAGCGGGGGTTCGACTCCCTCTGAGGGAATAGCGTGCTTTGCGGAATTTCTTTTTCTTTAATTCTTCATGTTCTACTCTATCTTGGATTTCAGGGCCGTTGCAGTTCTTCAACCTTTTGAACATGATATGCCGCGAGATGCGTGTGCAGAAATCCAACAGAGATGTATGGCCTATATTCAACCTGGTTGGGTAGCATAAGCCCTCGTTGAGTGGTGATCACCTACTAGTCTTATATAGGTTGATAGCACTAAAATGGGAGGTGGGGGTTCGACTCCCCCCGAGGGTACTGCGCGATTGTGCAATTTCTTTTTTCTTTCTTCTGCGTTCATGCAAACTTTTCAGGGCAAAATATGTTTAAATTGTGATTAAGTTTTTTGAGCTTGGAGAGTGGATGACGCTCCGAGACACGGAGTTTTGAAATGCTCGGGGGAGATCCATCCGGTGCGAAGTCTCTTATTTATTCAGCCTGAGTTGTAGGAGGATAGGCCCTCATGGATCGCGGCTCTCACCGACCTTCTGTCTCAGTTGAGCAACCATTTGCAAATGGGTAACGGGGGTGTCGCAGAACGGAGTTCGAGGCTGGTAGACAGAAATGTGGGTCGGAAGTCCGGATAAAAGGGAGTACGGGTGAAGTAGAAAATGAGCGATAGGTCCCAGAAATGGCACGAAGGCGTGGAATAGAAATCAGGTGGGAAATAGGGGATGTGCCGTGTGGGCGTGAGATACGGGTGCAAGGCAAAAAGACTCGGGGAGGGCGATATTCCGATGCTCAGGTGGAAAGTGTTCACTGGCGGCGTACTCACGTTGGAGTACTCAAGTCACTGGCCACGACGTAGATGATGGTTCGTGGGTAAGAAGGTGATATTTGTACCTATGTACGTACAAAACAAATACACGGAATGATATCCGATGTACCGAGGAGTAAGCGAGGAGGTATGTATAGGGGGAATGGCGACGAGCGGTCCATCCCCCCCTTCCACAGGGGTTCGACTCCCCCCGAAGGCATTAGCTTCGCTTAGTAAGTTTTTTTCCACGTTACTCTGATTTATTTTCCACCGCTGAAATTGCGCAGCTGACTCGGACTTGGTTGATATCACACCAGGAGCGAGTGCTGTTGAGATGATCTCGTCACTTTCTGCCTATCCAGAAAGAATATATGCCCTTATCCAGCCTGGATTTAAGGAGGATATGCCCTCGTGGATCGCCGCGATCACCCATGACAGATAGGATTTCTACTTCACTTCTAGTGGGCGGCGGGGGTTCGACTCCCCCCGAGGGCATTGTCTTGATTCAACGCCTTTTTTTTTGATACTGGACTCTGTTTCTTTGCATTGAAATTGAGTGCAGAACTCTGATTGTGTCTCGTTGCGCTTCGCACCAGAAACCAGATTGTAAATAAAGCATTTTCTGAGGTGGTTGAAGTTCACCGTTTGGAAACTGTACTACAGTCCTTCCAGCTAGTCTGCAGGTGCAATAAGCCCTTGTTGATCAGTGATCATCTACCACTCTTATACAGATCGATAGCACTGAAATGGGAGGTGGGGGTTCAACTCCCCCCGAGGGTGTCATTGGACACCACACGATTTTTCTACTTGACTCAAGAATTGACTTTTTTTTTTTTGGCGTTGAAATTGGCTGCAGCTGACTTGGTTGAATCTTACACCAGGAGCGAGTTCAGGCGCTACGCATGATTTTGTGGCTTGCTAGGTGTGCAGAAATCCACCCGAGATCTGCATATGCCCTTATTCAACCTAGTCTCCGGGTACATTAAGCCCTCGTTGATCGCGATGATCACCCACCTCCATTGTGTGAATCCAGACTAGGATTGCAAGTGGGAGACGGGGGTTCGACTCTCCCTGAGGGCATTATATGTGCATGTTGGTTTTTTTTTTCTGTCTCAATGCTTTTTTTTCTTTCAGATTTTGTTTTTGGCCATGCAAAACGACATATGGCATTGATAAGGCGTGGTTTTGAACACACCTAAATTGTTTGATTTAGACAAGTTACATTAGAGCAATCTAAACTGAAGTAAGACACAGAGGGTGCTGGTCTTGTCCTGAGGCCGAGCATTAAACCTATGAAGCATTGAAAACTAGTCTAAACAATATTGAGTGAAAGGATTCTATCAGTACTCCTAACGGAGTGACTAGTATTATTCTGGAGCTCAATCAGCTAGCTATAGGACTCACCCGACAAGCTACAGAGAACCTGTGTAGCAAGTTCGGTGTCAATATGGATGCCAGGTAAATCAAGGGAGTTATTGAAGGAAACCAAGTTGAAATGCCCTTGAAGTCTATTGAGCTACAGTTGCACTGTAAACCGTACTGTGGGAGCTGTAAAACCCGGCCCTAAAGTGGTCATATGATCCAACACATCCAGGAGAGAAACCAAACCAGGGACAACAAACCTGTTGAAAGATGATTACGAGGGCTAATGGTGCAATGTGCACTTGGTCTTCAGGTAGGAAAGAGGCAGTACAACCTGTAGCAGGGTTTGTAAGGCTGATTGGGCTGTTGTGTTAAAGTTCGGCGTGCCGTAAAGTAAGCAGAAGTTTACTATAGAGAAATGAGCCTCAGTTTATGGTAGAAACTCTGGTATATATTAATATGTACCTATAGAGAAATGACTAAAAGAATGTCAGTAGATAGAAGTGGTATATAACGATTGACGTACGCCTCAGTTTATGGTAGAAACTGAGGCGTCCTTTGTTCTCTAAGCGAATGATGTAAGGTTAGATATAAACAGAAGCAAAGGAACGTGATAGTCCGGTAAAATATTGTACCGTCGGTAGCGTGAATTCTAACACTCCCCCTCACGCCTAGGCAGGACTCCCCTCTACACCAAGAAGGTCTCGGAAATACGTGAACTTTGGGCGGGCGAGGGACTTCGTGGAGACGTCGGCAATCATGTCATTGGTAGAACAATAGACAATATTTGCGTGCCCATCATTCACCGTCTGGCAGATGAAATGGAAACGATTGTCGATGTGTTTCGTGCGAGCGTGAAAGGCCCCGTCCTTGGTCAACACAATAGCAGACTGATTATCGCAAAATAGAGTCGTCGGTTTGGTAATAGGAAGGGAAAATTCGGCAAGAAGTTTCCGGAGCCAAAGCAGATTTTTGGAAGCGTGAGTGAGAGCGACGTACTCTGATTCCGTAGACGAAAGAGTGACCAGGGGCTGTTTCTTGGAGCTCCAATCGACAAGACTGTTTCCAAGGTAGAACACATAACCGGATATAGAGCGACGGTCGAGGTCGGATGACCAGTTCGCATCAGAATAACCGGTAAGTGTGAGGTTTGTTCCGCCGAGGACGAGTCGGTGATGACGCACGCCCGAAAGATACTTGAGTACACGAGTGAGGGCCTTCATATGCGTCGAGCGTGGCTCTTGCATAAATTGAGAAAGGCTCGAGACGTGATATGTAATCTCCGGATGAGTGATAGTGGCGTACATCAAGAATCCAACGCCCTTGCAGTATACAGCTGTTTTGTCAGCAGAAAGAACCTGTGATGAAACACCAGGTGCACCAACACTAAGGTCGATGCCTGGTTCCATCGGAGTTAGGTTCGGAGCTGCATCGGACAGACCCATTTGAGCGAGAACCTGCTCAATATAGGCAGTCTGACTCAGGGAGATAGTCCTGGCTCTGCGGTCGCGTGTGATGTAAATACCGAGTAGTCAGTTAATATCCCCGAGGTCGACGAGCTCGAAATGGTCATTTAGCTGGGATTTAATTCGGCTGACATGCGCGGGAGTTTTGCCGACTATGGTGAAGTCGTCCGTCGCCGCCGCGACAATCGTGAGCTTATTGTGACTGATAAACACGGCGTTATCGGCTTGGAGGACGGTATAGCCTAGCGAGATGAAGGTCTCGCGAAGCTTGAGGTACCAGGTCCGGCCGCCTTGTTTGGTGCCGTACAGTCCCTTGTTTAGCTTACAGACAAGGCGGCACCCAGGGGAAGCAGATGGAAGGGATTTGGAAGTGAAGTGTTCGTAATACTGTGGAATTTCCATATAGATCGTTTCATCAATTGGAGCATTGAGGTAGGTGTTTTTAACATCCGCTTGATGGATTTCCCAGTCCCGAACTGCGCCGAAGGTCAAGAGGACGCGTAAGGTTGCGTGCCAAACAACGGGAGCAAACGTGTTGGTGTAATGGATGCCGTGGACTTGTGTTCGGCCGTTCGCGACAATTGTATTTATTGACATTATTTTGTGCGTCCTTATTGATGGTGAGTACGCAGTGGTTTCGAATCACGTTGGCACCGACTGGGGCCTCTACGACGTCCCAGGTATTGAGCTTGTCAAGCTGCGTAAATTCGGCTTGGGCTGCGGGAATCCAGAGCTGAGCGTCCGGGCCGGTAATAGCCTGGCGCAAGGTCATGGGAACATTCTCCGTGACCATCGCATACTCCACCACATACGTCCTGTCCTCCACATCTTCGTCCTCCAAGAACAAGTCCGAGTCATCATCTGGCTCATCTTCCATGATCTCGAATATCGCTGCCACATCCTCGGTCACCAATCCCGCATCGCAAGCCTCAGTATTGAGATTGTGGTAAAATCCCGGCCTTTTGCGCTCGGGCTGGCCTTGCCCCGTATTCGGCTCGGGCTGGCCTAACTTTTCGACTTCCGTTGGGCGCTTGCGGACGTGGGGAGGAGGTGGAGGCGGTGTCGGGTCAGATGGTGCCTCGGGCGGTGAGACTTGAGTTGGCTCGGGGTTGGGCTCTGGTGGTGGCGGCGTCGTGCGGAGATTCTCAGGGATCGGGGGGTCTACTGTATTGGTAAGTCCCCTGTTCTGTTCATTCCTCTCCGCGTTCGTGCTCGAGGGTGTCTTCGACGAGTTGGAGGGCACCGTTTGCTCGAGGATATCGTCGTCATCCCACTCCCCCTCAATTGAGGCGGTACCGGGAGTCAGTGCGTCCTTCTCGTTGAAATACACATCCCTCTCCACCATCACCTTTCGCATACCCGGCCATAGCCTCAATCCTTTTGCCCGCAGGTCGTAACCGACAAAATGGACCTTTTTCGCGCGCCTCTCGAGATCGCTCGCGTCTTTGATCTTGACCCATACCGGCGTACCCCATTCCAACAATTTGGAGAGATTGGGCTTCTTGTGGGTCGCCTTCTCCATCGGCGTCATAAAATTTGGGAGTGCGGAGGTCGGTGATCGGTTGCGGAGCCATACCGAATGCATCCATGCCTCTGCCCACAAATACTTTGGGAGCCCGGACTGGATCAGCATTGCCCGCACCTGTTCAATGTGGGTGCGCTGCCCGCGCTCG